CCCTCCCCCTCCCCAACTTCGTCTGATCGTGGGTTATGCGCCTTAGAGCACGAATTAAGTCAATTTCATGGAAGCCTCACTGTCGTATCGATCAACAAGCACCACCCTCCACCCCCCCCTCCCCCTACGTAGTCGATGGTTGTGGGCTCAATGCTTGTGTTAATATATATATATATATTTTTATTACTTGTTAAAATTGGTAAAGATTGGGTTAGGATTGGTCCTTTAGAACGAATTACTACTTCTTTTGGGAAGTGGTATTCGTACCAACGTACTAGAACCTCAAGGAGGTCATATTTCATCGTGTTTAGCCCAATTACAGCAGGTCTTCATTGGTAAAAAAGTTTCACTTGTTGTCATAGTAAGTTTAGTCATGCTCGAGACACTGGGAGCCATAGATACCAGGAGTTCCTTTAAGCTGTCTGTGGATTTATCTTCTATTTAGCTTTTCTTTAATGTTGAGGTCAAAGTATCCAACACTTTTGCTTGTCATTTATTGACTCGTATTCTTGTTTGATTGTTTTCCTACAGGGATAAATTGAAGGACCATTTGCGACATCATGACCGAGCCGCTCGCACTTTTGAATGCTCTCAGTGTCTCTCGCCTTTCGTTCAGAAGTCTGATCTCAATCGGCATGTTCGTGGTGTTCACCAAGGTGAGCCCGGCGTGGGAATCAACATGACTGTACGGCGACGAATGCCAGGTAAGATGTCAAATCACCAAGACACATATGAGGCCTTTATTTTTGCTTCTTATCGTGTTTTTAAAGAAATGGCTTGTCTTGTAGTCTTTCTTTTCTGTCAACCTCATATTCGGCCGACTTTTTACTGGAACTATCCGTAGTATCTAGATTTCCCTGGGACAAGGCGAAATAAGTATAATAGACTTCGTCATATTGCCGTTCCGCGTCTTATTTAACTCACGCATATCACTATTCAAAACGTGTGCTTACTGGGTCTGTTCCTTACAGTTCCCATTAGGTAACTGGGCACGTCATCACTACACGACTGGCATCCTAACACGCCTACTTTATCTCTTCATTGTGGAACACATTCACAACAACCACGGCCCAAAAAGACGAGGCAATGGTTAATCGATGGTTTCCCCATAGCTTCTAATTGAAATAGTCTATATTTTCCACCTTGTCTTGTCATTATTTCTATTTGGATTATGTTGACGTTTGGTTCAGGCTAATGCCTTTAATTCATTTCTGTCTTCGGTAACAGACGCCCTCACTGACTGAATCACCTTATTAGATTTCACGGCTTGGTGCTTTAGGGGTGACCCAGCAGCTACACAGAGTCTTTGGTGTTTGTGAATTAAGAACTCGTCTTATTCCTTAATGAAATCTCCTACATCTAGTTCCTCAAAAAACTCCTTACAAGTCAGCTCTGTTTCGAGCTTAATTATAGTGCTCTGTCTTATAAACTCTAGGCACATCCCCAGCTTCCAGTCGTCCGTCAAAAAAGAAAAAAAAGACTACCTCTGACATATCTACAACCAGTACCACTACTGCCACAAATGCAACACCACAAACCACATCTACAACCATAGCCACACCAGTGGCCAATTCTGCAAATACTGATGCTGCCCTGGCTTTGAGACTCTTTGGAAACACCGCTGCAAGCACCACAGCGGTCAATATCCAAACCGGGGTTCAGCAGGTAGCAGCTTATCCCCAGCACCAACTTCTAGCTGCAGCTTCCATGGTCCTGCCCTATTATCATCCCACTCCTGCTGGCCATCAATTCGTGGCAGCTGCCTTGTCCGCACAGAAAGGTGGCGATGGTCAAACGGTTGGAACTGAGCAGCAGCACCAGTCTGCTTTTCAACAACCCCCTCAACAACAAAATTCTGCGGCGGCTGCCGCAGCGCCTTCTATGATGTTTTTGACTAGGATTGCAGCTCATGCTGCGTCGAATCCGTCTTCGGTTGCGACAACTCTGGCCGTTTTGCCAACGCCTACAGCAGCTGTTGTGGTAATGGATTCTCTACTCAAATATTTTCAGTAGTCAACATTTAATCAGAAATCAATTGATTTGCTATTTCCCTGAAAGTATCAGCATCTCATAATTTAATTGTTCTTTCTACTTAACAGTATTCTATGCGAATATTCCACCAAGTTATCAATTAGATTTTCTGGTATATTTGGGGTTAGAACTTCTACGTCAACTTCAAATGGCCATCATTTTTAACAAAATATCAAGTCTTCGGTAGAGATTTTATAATCTCTCTACCAATTTTGTGTTATTGCCGTTCATTCATTTCTCACCGGCTTTAAATGCACTGTAAAGGGCAAATTTTAATGGACATTCCCTTATTGTGTAATAAAACTCATTCTCATTAAATGCGTGGTGGTGTTTAATTTATACTTTGCTCACTGCAGATGAATAGTTTGCAATTTGTATTATTGATTAAAATTTTGTATATATATATAATCATCAGTAGGGTTGAATTAAGAAATACTTGATGTAAAAATTTTCTGCTCACTAGGCTACGATTTTAGATCTTTACTTTGTGAGTTTGTCAATCTACTTGAAAATTGCTGATAGCAATATTGTTTTGTCGTTTTTGACACCTTGTTTCCGCATACTTATTGAGTTATTAGCAGTTTTCTTGAATTCTCATGTAAACATTTTATATTAACCCACAGACTCCAGCCGTTGGTCAGCAGTGTGAAGCATCATCTCAGTCTAGTGCCACAGTAACATCTCAAGCTGATCAGCAACAACAGGCTTTAGTCCAACAGCAACAGCAATACCAACAATCTCAATTCGCTTATCAACAATATCAACAACAACTCCTACAACACCAAGCCCAGTTGCAAGCACATCACTACGATCTGAACACTTATTACCGCCAGCAACAACTGGCGGCTCAACAGAGAGTTTATCAGCAGGCACAGGGCTTTCTGCTGGCCGCCACAGCTAATTCAACAAATGGCAACAATGCCACCACTGCGGCTAATACTGGCACAACTTTCTTCTGTCAATCTGCCACTACAGGAGCAGGGACTGTGGGAAGTGAGAATGGAACTGGCGTAATCTTGTCTGACCCCGCGACGGCCCAACAGTTGGCTCAATTGGCTGCAGCGGCACAGATGCAACAAGCTGTTGTTGCTCGTGGTGGATTGCAGGTATGTATAACTCCTCTCGCCCATATATTGGAAATGAATTTTGTGTATTTAACACCTTTCATTATTTTAAGTGTGATTCAAGCAGACCATTATTATTAGGCTATGATATAGTATACAGTAAGGCAAGTTGATACAAAAGGGCACAAAGGGACAGACTCAATGGGAATTGAGTGAATGAGGAGTATGTGTCCTGATCTACCCAACGACTGCAATCCTCCCTATTCCCTTCCCCTCTCTGGGCTCATATTAGACCTCATGCGGGTTGCAATAATTGCAGTAATGCATTAATTGGCGTTACTAGAGAGATTTTGACGATAGTGGCGCATCTAGACGTGGTGACTGCTGTAATAAGTACTCGTTCGTTGACTCACAACTCCTTAATAGAGGAGTCTCATGATGGATCCTTCCCTGATAAGAAAGGAATTACATTTAATCCTATGTTTAAAAATTGCGTTATTTTTAATTTACTGGATCTACTTGGAAACTTGACGAGCTGTTTAATCGGATAATACCAGAACCCGGGGTCGTTTCTTAATGTGAAAAATTTGCGTAATTATTGGGAAAGCAACCTGCTGCTTCTCTTTTTGAGTAGTATATCACAGTCCCAATCTCTTTTTTTGCGCCTCCCTGCAGGTGATGGCAAACGTGATAGCAGGCCAACAGCAGCAGCAGCAAACAACGCAGCATCCTACCGTAGCCGCGCATCAGCAGTCAATAACTCCTCAACAGGTGGCCCAACCTCAAACAGCCTTCTATGCCGCTTATCAACACCCCGCCTACCAACAGCAGAGTGTTGTTCAACAGCAGCAGCAATATCAGGCACAACAGCAGGTGTGTAAATGCAAATACCGCGTATATATATATTTCAGCCATTGGCATAAGCTTTGCTATCTTAATTATTGCAAGCTTCCATTCACTGACTTAGCTCCCTCGGAGAGTAGGGTTAGGGGGGAGGGGGGTAAATTAGGTCAGGTTAGCTTTCCAAATGAACAGTGATTCAGAATGGAATCCTGCTTCGTCGTAATGTGGAAATGGTTTTGCCATAAAGTGGAATGCTGAGGGTCTGCGTCTTTCCAATCGGAATATTTGTTTTCCATATTATGCACTCCTCAACTAGCTTGATGTCGAACTAGAGTTTAATAATACTTATAATATCGATTAATCCTTTTAGTTGTATCAACAGCAGCAACACCAGCTCATGCTTCAGCAAACCACCAACACAACCGCCAATGCCACCGCTGCTACCACTTACCGTCCAGTTGTTATGACAGCAGCTACCAATGCGACATCAACGAATACCAGTCAAGATCAAATACAAAAGACTACTGTAGTTCATGATCCTAGTTACCAACAGCAATTAGCCGCTTTCTACAATCAACAAAGACAAGGATTTGTCCTCGCCTATCAACAGCAGAACCAGTGTCAAGAACAGCAACAGACTATGCAACAACAGACTTTAGCTGTAGCAGGTAACGCAGTTGAACCCCCTCAGCAACAGCGATAATTCTCCCTGTCTCGAGAAATACCCACGTTATCTCTCGTGGGCTGTCTGTGTTTATTCGCGTAGCCTCTTACTTGTAGTACTACTACTACTGATATTGGTATGTGAGTAGTATAATGTAGCCTAGAAGTTCTACTCTTCCTTTCACCGCCTTTTGTACATTCCTATTGCCGCTGCTATGTCACGAACACATGTTTGCATTTTACTGACTCCGAGTGACTGCTCTAAAACTCTTACGTCTTTTAAAAAAATTGTCTTCACTTCGCCGTCGTGCATTTTGACTAACCGAGTGAAAAATGACACCGAGGTCACACACGCGTCACCCTATATTTGTGAACTATACATTGTGTCGATAATAGTAATAATTACAGAATTTTCTTAAAGGCCATTGTTTTTTTTCAAACTGAGGAAAATATATATTATCAGGGCAAATGTAAAATCAATTGGCTGAATCGTTACATTGTTATAATTGAATTCGTCACTTCGCACGAGCTCGCACTGAGAGGTTCTCGAAGGTAAACGAGATTCCTTCGATCAGCCTTGGCATCGTTCTGCACTCCACACTACTACTTCATCCCAAGTAGATGCATTCCTTGGTTCTCAGAATTGAACAAAAATTTCTCCAGATACGAATTACCATCTATTTTGCTATTGTGATTTACTAGGCTTTATTCTCTTTCGATAAATGACGAAAGAAGTGGAATTTACAATTTAAACGATAAAGTTTGCCTAAAATATCTCCCTAACATCAAGGAAGGTTCGAGATGACGTATCACACAAAGACAAAATTTACCATATCCCTTTAAGATATTAACGAGTAAAAAATAGCCATAGCTTAGTCAGGAGAGCATTCAGGACTTCAAGGTGCAGTGACACTCTTCAACATAGTCAATTGGCCAAGAATGAATGCTGTTGCAGAGTTTAGACTGTGCACCGGACACGATTACCTGGCGAATCACCTTCACAGGATAGGAGCATACGCTCAACCAACATGCCCCCTATGTGACTAACAGGAGGAAATGGAAAAGACCCACCTGATACAGACAACGACAGTGAAGCAGAGATACTGGGAGGCCAGAAGTCAACTAATAGACCGGTGTTAACTATTCTCCTTTCCATTGTGATGCCCGAAGTCAACTAAGGAGTTAATATCATAAAGCCTGTCATTTGATATAATAATAATAATGTTCTCAGACAACCGAACAGAAAACTCTGATTGGGGGACATTAAGATGCAAGCAAATAGCTGTCGGAGTCATGAGAGACGTTAGGTGATTGAAGGGTGGGCGAACAGCCAATGCGAGCTTCCACAGGTGATTGTGACAAATGCATTAGCGACAACAAAGTCAGATCGAAAAGCAATTCTTGAAATTGCGTTAAGGCGTTAACCTCTCGATATGAGCAAATTGAACTGAGTGAAGTATTTTTTGTTGATAATCGCGAGATTCATTTAAGTTAATCTAACGAATTCCACCAAATCGTGTCGAATTTTCGCCCACAAGATAAAGATAGACCAAAATCGACAGACAGATGGTAAAATTTATTGAACAATCGCATTATTTTATCAACAGTAAACAATAAGACTTATGAGTTTAAACAATTCAGGATAAATTTACATCGCCGATAGCGCACTGAAAATTGCTGCTTAAAAGCCTATTGAGAGGACATCACCTTTTACCTATTTCCACCACCTAATTCAGTGATTTTATCATCAAGCACGGCAAGTCGTTTCCTCAGTTCATCCAGTCGAGCCTCCTTGTTGCTAAGAGAAGTGGAGGCGTCACGATCTCGTCTTCGACGATCTTCGAAAGGTGATCTTGACCTGTCCCGGTCTCCTCCACGGCGATCAATGTCCTGACGTCGTCGGTCGATGCCATTGCGACCGCGATCGTATCCACGATCACAATCCACCCTACCTCCGCGAGACCTCCCATAGTGGGAGTCACCTCCATAGTCCCGACCTAGGCGATTGGTATAAAATATTCCGATAAACTACTGAAATAGAATTTAAGTTGAAAGGAATAAAGGAGTGAAGGAAGCCGTAATAGGTCCATCGGAAGACCAAGAACTTGCTGAAGATACGCATTTGGAAAGGTCTCCAGTTAAGCTTCAGCTCTTAGAAGTTAGCACTCATGCACTATCGCAGTACAAGTGAACTGCTATTTAAATAATTTAAAAGTAGACGGTAACTAACCACGGTCATAGAATGTTTTCGTAGGATTGCGATCATTCATTGCACCACCACCACGACGATCGAATCGGTCATTAGAGGATGGGGGCGGTGGGCGGCGATCACGATATCTGTCTGATTGACCTCCGCCTCGCGAAAATCGATCATTCTTGAAATCTGCTCTACCGTGCCGATCATCGCGATCACGTCCTAAAACAAAATAATACGACATTACAATTATTATTCCTACTAGAGCTCTTATATACCACATTCATGTGTTCATAATTCAATGCAATCTCGAGTTTAATTTAATCGCTTAGTACAGCTTTATTTCAATGGACGCGAAATTTAACAGAATAGGGTACATAAAATATACAGAAATTACTGAATGATAGAAGCGAATTTAATAGAATAGAGCTGATTTAGCCAGGATTGAACAAAGGAGTTTTCTTCTTTTAGTTGCTTTAAAAGTCGTTGTTGCCATTTATCTAAAGATTGTCAACATATGGTAATATCGGTTTTTCGCAGTATGCCATACTCCCCTTTATTCCACTTTACGCATGCCTCCTAACAATACAATACATGCACTCAATTCAAGCCTTTAAAGGTATATTCCATTGTTTGGATAATAATGTAAAAGTTCATAGTAGTTCAAGTGAAGTTTAAGCGGGAAGAATTCGAAGCACTACATTTTTATACTGACCATTTCTATTCGTACTATTGTATATCCTAGATATAACAGATAATTAGACAAAATAGACCAAATTACCATATTCACCATGTCCGGCACTGCCTCTTCCCCTCATTCTCGATTGATCTTCACTTTGATCAAATCCTCTGGCCCTCGAAACGGGACGCTGTTGTTGTTGCAATTTCGGTGGGGGTGGCGAATCAAAACCACCCGGCGATACAGCAATGTACCCACTACCACCTTGACGTCTCATTGAGTTGTCACGACGCCTATCGGCCATTTGGGGTGAACTACTCGTTGACGAAACAGGTGATCCTTCGGTCATACGAGGGTAACTATTGGATGGTACAGTGGGAGCAGGTCGTTCCATCAGAGCATTCCCTCCAACTCTGATTCTTGGAGCGATTGTGAGTTTCACTCCTGGACGAGAGGGATTGGTCGGTGCTGCTGGGTTGACGGCACCGGCCAACAAGGGGACGGTCTGCTCAAAGGGAATTGAGGAGGCCAGGTCGCCGTCGCCAACTGCTGCTGGTTGAGCAGAAGGAGGTGGTGGATTGCCAAAGTAGGAATCAGCGAAGGGGCTACGACTCTTGCGACGGGATGAAGGTCCTGGAGCAGCTAAAATGATTCCCATAAAATTAACCTTATTTACTGTCCACGATTGTACCAAGTTAAGTTCGGTCCACAACTAGATTACTTACTAACTGCATTCAACACGAACTCTGCTGACAGAAGAAACAAATCAACTAAATAGATCAAGAAGTCGCAAGTAAGGTGAGCAAGAGAACTATGAGAAGGTACACTGAGTTCTAGGACAAATCGAAGCAACTACCCCTTCTAGGAAAATGGAAAAGGCAGAGACGCTGTTTAAATCTGGAAAAAACTGACCCACTTAGGTTTTGTACAACTGATCAAAATGAACTTTGGTGGAAAACGAATTTCACCAATTGGTCTTTAGGATTGAACCTCCATATCATAATGCAGAAAAACCTCCAGAAACGTCTGAGAGATCTATAAGTCAGCAAGTGTAAGAGATAATTTGAACGCATATGTTGAGGGGGTACCAGACATGAAGATATTAACGAACCAGAAAATTAAGGTCTACGAAAGCAAAAATTCCCTCCGACTACAAACTCACGGCGTTTTCTAGGTGGCGAATCCAAGCTACTACGAACAGAACTTCTATCCACTTGAGTAGAAACCAGGGGTGGGGCTTTAGGGGCTGGTTTACGACCTCTCGTTTGTGACCAAGAGGTGTTAGCGTAGGTAGATCGGTCCTCGGGTTCTTCCTTTGACCCCGATCGAGAACGGCGTGATACCTGATGCTGTGGCGGAGCCCGTTTAAGAAGAGGCGATCGCTGGCGATCAGGTCCTAAAGAAGATCAAAAGACATTAGAGCCTATGCCAAACGTGGTTTAATAAGTATATCGCCTAAAGTCTTATTTAAACAACATACAGGTATAAATATATTTCTTATTTGAATCATGCAGCCGCTTAGTGCATTGATAAACGCATGAACCGTCCCAATGGCAAGATGATGAAAGAAAGCACAGCAATCAACTCCATCTGGTGTACCGGAATTTGGTCATTACATTACAACCACGTTTCACGGTCGTTGTGCTAGTTTTCTAGATTTTAAGTTCCATGATGACTCCGCCCTCATTTATTTCTTAAAATGGTCTAATATAACATCAATCCCCACCAAATCCACTTCCGTATTCGGGTAAAATTTTTGCTTTAAGGGGGTTATCTTAAAGCCAAATTTGGTGGGGCCCATAAAGTAGTTATACTGATGGGATTTAGTACATTACTTTGATAAAAGGGGAGGGGGGGGGTGTGCAATAGATTTACCTCCACGTGGGGCACCCTGGGCAATGCATACTCATACGACAAAAAGTCTATTAACCGGCAGTGAAGCCTGAAGTCAACTAAAGGGCTAACGTTAACCATCAAAAAGCCTGCCATTTGATATAATATAATACTTTAATTAAAGGTATAACGGGTACGATATCTCAATACCACGTCAGTCTTAAAAGTGAGATATTCTAAAATTCCCATTTAATAGGTATAATTTCAATAATTAAATTTGCGACTAGAGTAAATGAAATAGTTACCTCTTTGTCTCGGCGGATCGGCAGGCCATGAACGCTTGACAGGGTGCTCAGACGGCATGGGTGGGCGCTCAGGGCTTCTTAAAAGTGGCAAAAATAAAGAGATTAAATGATCGAATCAACATCTTATATATATATATATATATATATATATATATTGAATAGTTCAATGACAATCAGTAATGGTTTAATGAGATACTTAATCAAGAAAAAGCAAATGAATACAGAGTTTCGTTCAAATGATAACTCAGCACACAGGACTATAGTGCAGTAGCAACCTTCCAAAACCCTTCAATTGAATGCGAATGAAGGAGAAATAAAGAGAGGGAAAACTCCTCAATCTACCCCCTTAAATTAAGTAGGCATAAAAGAGATTTATTCCTATCTTCCAGCAGAATGTGCTTCTTTTCAAGAAATGCATTATAGGAAACTATGCAGCTAACCTGTCTGATGGTTCTCGCCACCGACCCAAATCACCATAGCCTCTCCGCTCCCCATAGATCTGACCATCATCACCATCTCTAAACGATGCTCCACGGCTGAAACTCGTCTGCTGATGATGATATCCACTTATCGGTGGCTGACGCTGCTGTTGATTGCCAAATGAACCAATTCCACTGCCACGTCTGCTCCCTAAAATAAAAAAAAAACAAGTGTTACTTAAGTAATTTAAGCAGAATGATTTAGAGAATAGAAAATATTTTACGAGTGAATGAAGGTCTCTTTTCAACACCACTACGGTTTCTTGGGCTCTGCGAGGACGATCTCGAGCGAGACGAAGCTGAATAGGATCCACGGGCCCCCTTAGAAGCCTTCTGAGTGACAACAGGTTTTGGTGAAGAGCTACGCGATTTGGTGCGTGAACTGCTTCTAGTACTGGTAGAACTTCCACTACGTTTTCTACGACGTCGCCTACTATTTTCGGCACCAGAATCACCAGCTAAAAGTAAATGTGGAACCGCCTGATAAATTGAACCAGCCAGAGAGGAGAGAGAAGAGGATCGAGAGGCGAAATTTGAGGACACGCTTGAAGAGGGAAGAGATTTTGGCGAGGAGGGAGTTGAAGAAGGAGAACTAGCCGAGCTCGATCGATGACGACACTTCTTGACACTTCTGCGCCACCGAACAATGGTTTTCTGGGAAGGAGGATCGAGATCACAGGGTAGTGCGCGTTTACAAGTGATTTGGGTGGCGCCGATTATGGATAACTTGTGGTAGTTTATCCAGCTAGAAGTAGCAAATCAAGATCCCATTAAAATTAATATTCAGATTCAATTTTACAAAGACAAATAACTGTTTGAAAAAACTAAAGAGGTTATTATTGTATTCCGTGTTAAAGCTTGCGAAAAGGACATTGGAATCAAAGTTAGACCTTGGGTCCTTTGTCCATACAAACGTAAGTAGATTTTAAACAATTGTATAGAATAGTCCACGATTAATGTTGAAATGTTATTGAGCCGGAAGTAGTCTTTGATAACAAGAAAAAAGGCAAATGAATGAGTTTTAATATTCGAATAGATTTGGCATTAATTAACATTTTAGAATTTCCAAACTCTAGTTTGCAACATATAATATTTAGGACGACGGAAAATGGATTTGTATCTATGGATTTGAATTGTAATGAAATCAATAATGAGATCCAAGTTGGAGCGTATATAATAAAGACTGCATTGAGAAAAGAATTGGACAAAAATAGATTATGTAACCCTTTAAGAAAATAGGAATAAAGAAAGGGGAACAAAAATTTTCCCCACTGAAGGGACTAATTAGAACTTAACTACAAATTTAGCGCCCAAATTGAGGGTGACAATTGACACAGAGTTTCACAAAATTATGAGTACTAGAACAGTTTTATTAAACAAAAAGAAAGCAAAAGACAAAACAACGTTACTGACATTAGTAAAGAGAGATGAGATCCAGCGAACATTCAATTAATGGAAAATATGAAAGGATACAGGACTACATATATTTTAAAAATAAACTCACAATGTGTCGGAGGGATTAGACCGACCCATGTCACAAATGTCTGCAAGAGCGCCATCTTCAGCCAAATCGGGAGCAACAACTGCCAAATTAAACTTTTTGTCCTCCAAGTCAGGCTCCGATTCGCGCAACAATTTTGATTTACGCGCATGCTTAAAACGAAAGAAGACAACTGCATGAGAAAATAAATACACCAACCTCTCGAGCAAGACGAAGACCTCTTTCCCAAGGAGTTTCATCAACAGAAGTATTATCACTCCGAATATTCTGAAAAAAAGAAATAAACATTCGGGAAATTGTTAAGTGAAATGTACCAGTAGAAAATGACATACAGAACCCGAATCACTTCCACCATCAGAAGTGTAACCCTCACTACTGCTCAACTTCGTATCGTCTTCGCTGTCTAATTCTCCCTCATCTTGATCAATATCTTTCTTTGGGGGATTTCTTGAAGTGATCATTTTACCTAAAGTGTAGGACAGTTTATAAAAACAATAAAGAATGGAAAGTTTAGCGTTTCTAAGAAGAAAATGCACTTTTAAATTGTAATAAAACATAAAGCCAATAGGGCTAATAAATACTTCCACCTACAACATGGAAAAAATATGGTAAAATACGCACTGAATATCACCCTCAGAGAGTTTAAACCATGCACAGGAGACAAACAACAACCGTTGGCAAATTTATGCGCACTTGCATTTTATCAGCTTGAATTATAGGCGTAATAAATAAATATATTTAATTTAAAGCTGAAAAATATATTGCTGTATCTACATGATTAATTAAAGGATAGTGTGTGGTTGAATCAAAATTTTATAAAGCAAAACATAAACATTTAAGTTAAAATTTAATAATAAATTTATTAAATGAAGAATTTTCAACCTTGTCTCTCTCAATTTGGCCCTCATGAGTATTCTTGAAAGATGCTTTCTATTCTACCGCAAAATGTTAGTTTATTGTGTGGTTTTTCGAAATGGGTTTTAAATGCAAATGTCATTCAGCTATTTCGCTTTAATTTTTTTACTTTGTGCATTTAAGTGTCTTATTGTGTGTTTCTTAAACCATGTATGGTATTAATTTTCTATTATTTATTTCTATATTTTTTTCAGAGCGCCAAATAATGTTTATTGCATATTTCTACAGACCTTTTCTGATAACCATATCAAGGCGTTCTGCTCTTGTCTTGGGTAGAAATGTTTCTTCATTTTTTCCTCTGAAAACTCGAGAACTTATTAGTATTCGAGGTGGTGCCACGCTTGATTTTCTACAAGGATTAATGACCAATGATGCTCGCTGTTTGGAATGCAAACCCTCTGTTTTATTTTCGTTATTTCTGAACGTGAAGGTATTTTCTTCTGTCATTTTCTTTGAACCTTATTATTCTTTATTTGACAATTTACAGGGTCGTGTAGTTTGTGATTCTCTAATCTATCATGTTGATAATAAAGATACAGAGGAGCCGCACTATATAATTGAATGCGATAGCAAATGCAAGCTAAACTTACTTAATCTTCTGCGTTTCTACAATATTCGCAAAAAAGTTTGTCCCATTCACCTATCCTTATTTGCGAAACTTTTTAAAGGTCCACGTTTCAGAAGAGCCATCGATTAGAGTTCTCACTAGCTTAAAACCCTCAGAAGAAGATTTGAATTTCAATCGTGCTTTGTTTGTTAGTAAGGATCCTCGTCCTGTTCCCGGTTGGTCATGGCGAATGCTAGTTCCATCGGGTAAGATTTTGTATCTCAAACTTTAAAATGATAGGGAGCATGTACTTATATTTGCTTCCTGTTCCAGATGCCGTTTCCCAACCGGCTACTTCTTCAATCAATCATGAAAGGCTTTACCGGCGAGTTCGATATTGCCTTGGGCTTCCAGAAGGTGCTGCAGAGTTCAGAGCAAACGATGGGTTACCTCTGGAGGCCAATGCAGATATCTGCTATGGTATCAGTTTCAATAAGGGCTGTTATATTGGCCAGGAGTTAACCGCTCGCTCGCGATTTGTCGGTGTTATTCGGAAGAGATTAGCTCCAATTGTTTTTGAACTTCCAGTAGATCCCGACATGTGGGTGGTGGTTTATTTATGTATTTATTTATTAAGTTCTGTATTGTTCCAGCAATATGCTTTAGATCTACTGAGGGGATATTTTGGCTTAATTTGCTTTTCGTATTTTACAAACAATAACCAAACTCATCATTGTCTGCCAATGATTTGAACAAAATTCACTTATGGTCTCGATATAAAATCTCACATTTTTGCGTATTTACTAAATATATGAAATCTACATTCTAAAATGGGATCTGCATATCAAAAATGTTTTGTGTAATGAACGTTCACATTAGCGAAACTCTCTTCCATGAATAGAATTCTGTGTTCGCTAATGATTGGCTTAAGGCAAATTGATCTATTTGTTCTTGAGCTTTATTTATGTGTCGTTTAGTTTACTTTTTCCCATGAACTGAATATGTGCCTTTCAATAGATAGCGTCTAGAGTATATGTCTCACTCATCTTGCTTCAAGCTTTCCTCATCCCAGCTCAGATGAAACAGTGTAGGTGTTTGGAGGTTTTTCTGTTGCCTTGTTTAGAACCCGAGACGCAAATTTCCCTTCGATATAGGCGCATTGGATAAAGCAATTTATGAAGATAAGTTGAAACCCTAATTAAGCTAGTCGTGTGCATTGATTTCGACCTTGGTAACGACGCTTACCATCACGAATGAAATTAAATAAGGGCGAAGACAAGGAAACAAGTTAGTGCGGCAATCTCCGTCCCAATTCACAACTCCTTTTTTTTGTTGTTGCAGCCTTTTGCCCTCATATTTTTATTCATGCGACTCTTTCTCTAAGCTCATTATTACTGCCTCTCTCACCCTCGCCTCGGTTCCTATTATGTTATCTTCTTTGTGCTCTCATGACTTACTTAGTTAATTCAAACAACAAATTCGCTATTGTAAATTCTATTCTTGTGGGGGGACTAAGTGACTTAGCGCTCTCGAAATGAGGCTCAAGTTTGGTCATTTCAGTTTTAATAACAGTGATATGGACGAATTTGCAGTTGCGTTTAGCACTTCTCAGACTGAACTTTTAGTTCAAACAACGGTGTTTCTTGAAGAAATTAATCTACCTGTGTATTGGCTTGAGCATGCAACAACTGATTGGCCAATAATTGCAGTGACCGCTTTTTCACGGGTGGTAGTCTTACCCACCCAGGTGTGAACGTGGGAGACCACTCGAATCGATAATTTTAATGATCAGCACAAGTTATTGTGATATGAGTTATTTTATGCTCCCTGTTTGTTCCAATCAACCCCCTTCCTTGGTCATCGCGTATTTGCGTGAAGATGGGTTTAAGCTTTTAATTGAAACAGAGTGATCTTGAACACCTTTAGAAATCCTAGAAAGAAATAAAAGAAAATATCACTCTGTTCAATTTATCCTAAATACATTTAGTGGCTCAAACGACGATTTCTTAAATATTTTTTAATTTTTTTGTTATTTTGCCTCATTGTAGCGTTCCCATTGAATCGCCAATCTACCGCATTTCCAGTTCAACCAATTCCGTGGTAGGAAATCGTCCAGTTGGATGGGTCCGGGGCATTGAAGATCCCCTGACGGGTTCGACGGAGAAACAAGTAGGATTGGCTCTTCTGCGAATGGCAGAATGCGCTGAAGCAATTTCCAAGGGTGACCATTTTTGGGTCGATGTTTCCGAGGCTGCGACAGCCGTATCAGCGGAGTCAATAATCGAGTCTTCTGGGAATAGAATTGTTCATCCCTTTGTTCCATTTTGGTGGGAAGATGATATTGCAGTTGGAATTCCAAGAATGGGCAATCCTCTCCCTGATTAGATCCTTTTAATGAAATCCTTTCTTTCCATTATCGCCTTCGACGCGAAAATTGGGCTTTCATGTTCTTGTTTAAATTTGGAGTATAAATACAGAAATTACACTTTTTCTTTTATAATCTGTCTCGATGATTGTACTTTCTCTTCTTTTGCTTACTCTTCTAAATTACTAACGTAAATCACACCTTTCAGATTTGCCTTGAAAAGTTAACGAGGACAATTAGTTGAATAATTTTAGTCAAAAAGTATTTGTTCAGTACCCACTATAACTACTATTATTAATCAAGTGAGAGGCAATAGATTTACCAGGACCAGTCGGTCTGTGAGGGCGGGAATGTGGAATGGAGGGAAGATGGTCGGTCTGTTTGCAATTGGGTTCTCGGTTTTCATCTCTAAACAAAGTTTGATTGCAAAGAATTTGATTATATCCGATGGCAGTTGAGTGTGTGGGACACGTCATCGCATGCCTGCACGCCAGGATTGGGAGGTGCGACCGTACAAACAGTGACCAATCATTAACCTCTGTTTGTTTAACCTAATCCGCCATCCTGATCATGATTAAGCTTCCTGCATGTAACTTCATCCGCAGTACCCGTACTGAATAAACGTGCTCCGTGCTACACGTCTGTTTCCTTTTATGGCTGGGCTATAGCTCAGCTGGTTCTGGGGTGTTTGAGAATCTGGCATAGAGATTTCTGAGTCGGTTAGGCTTTAATAAAGTAGCAATCCGCTACAAGTCCAAATAAGCTGAAAGTGGTTTCATTCGTGATTCCATATCCAAACGAAGAACTGAAGAGTAAAATTATATTTCAATCTCAATGTGATTGTGTGTTTGATTCGTATTCGTAAACAGCAGATGGTTCGACAATTAGAATTTATGCAAGGAAAGTCAGCAATGAAATTCCATGCATTCGTCGGAACTACAATGATAACTCCACATTCACTGTTAACTTTCGATTTTTCATCGTTTGATTTACAATTCCACTGTCTGTATTCACATAAACTGCTCTGACACCGCCTCCGAAAATACGTCCCAGATAACTCAATATTTTTTAATTCATGAGAAGCCACTTTTCTCTATAAATTCATTTTATTGAGAGAAATTATTGTTTATAAATTTCCATGCTAGTTGCATTTTAACGAATGACTCAGTTTATCTTTAAAGTATGGTTGCGCGATAGACTTACCTCCACCTAGTACACCCTGGGCAACGTATACTCACACGGCGAAATAATCTCCACACCAATATCTGACATCTGACCTCTAACTACCATGATCCCACTGCATGTCATATTGCACCACTTCCATAATATTCACCTCGCCTTTCTTTTTTCCTCTAACTTCTTGTCTGATTATGGGTATGACTTACCTCCAAGTGGTTCACCCCAGGCGAAAAAGTCTATAAACCGGCAGTTGAATTTTGACATCAAACTATCATGACCCCACTGTACATCATATTCGACCTCTTTCACAGTACCCATCTTACCTTTTCTCTGCCTTTGTGTCTGTCTGTCTGTCTCTTTTACATCTGTGAATCGCTCCTCTGTTCCTCACCCCTCGATTTTCTGCTGCTTTGATGAACCTCTCCTCTGTGAAACCCGAAGTCAGCTAAATGGCTAATGTTAACTATCAAAACACCTGCCATTTGAAATAAATAAATATGAAAATCATCAAAACACGATTTTGGAGTCAAATCATACAATTGAATGACGACAAAGAGACCCTCAAGAGGTAATAGTATTAGAATCAGGTCATTTCACTTTGCATCACTTAAACATTTTTTTATTTACATCAAATGTTAGGCATTTTATAGCTATCATTAGCCTTTTTATTGACTTCGAACATCACAGAGGGAAGNGGGGGGGGGGGAAACAGAAGAGTGATTCACAGATGTGAAAGAGACAGACAGACACAAAGGCAGGGAAAAGATAAGATGAGTACTGTGGAAGTGCAGAAATATGGCATACAGTCGGGTCCTGGTAATTTGAAGTCAAAAATCAATTACCAGTTTATTGACTATTTCGCCGTATGAATAAACGTTGCCCAGGGTTGTCTATTTCAATTAGTTTATGCAAATATTTCAAAATTTAAATGAATAAGGGAAATGACTAGTCAAGTTGGTTTTGAAATGAAGGTGATTAGGTATTGCATCCACATTGAAGAAAACGGCCGAAAATATCCCATTAATTTTCGCCTTCTATTTCTCAAATTGTCTTAAATTTCCACATTCCTCCATTATGCACTTCGAAACTTCTGTATCAATCCACCCAATCAAACCCTTGAGGACATATTTGTCCAATCTATCAAGTGCTTGCGATATGTAATCCAGGAAGCCACTAATTTCAAAATAATCTGAAAGGGTCGAAAATTCATATGCCAAAATATTATTGTTATTATTATTATATCAAATGGCAGGCGTTTTGATTGCTATCATTAGCCCTTTAGTTGACATCAGTCTTCGCAGAGGGGAAGGAACATCAAAGTGTAAAAAATTCAAGAGGTGGGGGGAACAGATGAGTGAATCAAAGACGAAGGTAGATAAGGTGGAAAAAAGGTGGGATGAGTACTGTGAAAGTATTCGAATATGACATACAGTGTGGTCATTGTAGTTTGAAGTCAACTGCCAGGTAGTAGACTTTTTTGCCGTACGATTATACGTTTGCCCAGAGTGCACCGCGTGGAGGTAAATCTATCACACACCCCATATGCCAAAATATAAGGTAGCTTCATATTGGCCAAACTTTTCAGTTGATAAATTTCAAGCTGGTTCACGGAATCCTCTGGGACTAAAATGTCCAATTCATTCGGTTCAACGCAGGAATAAGTTGACTCGCTATTGGGGACAATGAATTACATCCCTGTGAGATTGCAAACTATTTTTCTTATCTACGAGTATAAGCGAGTTTTAGGCAAATCATTACTTTGCTTCAGTACATTGTTCTTTCTCAAATTATCAGTACCTCGTATATGGTAAGTTGAAATAAGTATAATAAGACTTAATGAGATGACCAATTAATTTTCTTTTTTACCTGTTCCAATATTGTGATACAAAACGAATTTCAACCAAGATCGTGGAATCGATCGTATACATATTTTGACTGTTTCAAAACTAGTTTTAAAAAAGTCAAGCAGTACTGCAAACCTAAGAGCAAACGCATCTTCAAAAACCCCATTTTTTATTTTCAAGCACTCATCTGCTTTTGTGCGAATAAGATCATGTTTAGAAAATGAATGCTTTCTTAAATAATCGCAAATTCAAACCACTCTGACCTTGATTGGCGGAAACGTCACAAATTATTAGAGCAAACGAGTTTTAAGGACAAAAGCAAAGTATAAGGAGATATTAATTTCATTATTTTAAAAATTTTATGACGTTTTAGATCACAAAAGTGGCGTTTCTGTATCAGTTAATAGTATTGATTTTAACACGGAGCCTATGTTTTCCTTACGGTGTCATTTGGGCATTGATTAATCTAAATCCTTACCATATTTTGTTCCTTCAAGGTGCCAATTGCCGGCTTCAGTGTATACAAACCCCCCTTCCCTCGGACTATACTGATACAATTCGACTGGCACAATTTTATGACAATTATGGTATATTAAAAATAATTTAATAAACATTTATCCTTAAAGTATGCACTAGCTCCTGAAGTGCATGGTTGTCAGTGTAAATTGATCAAGATTTAGCCATGAAACATACGCTTGACTGTTTGACATGAGCATCAACGTCTACATTTGCAATTCCAAAGTTATTCAAGTCTGCAATGCCTGGGGAGTCACTCCTGAAGGACAAAGCTCTTTGAGTGATCTTCTTCGTTGCTGTCGAGCTCATCGAGTTTTGTTCTTCGAAAAAAGTGACAATGCTGCTCCCAATACTCGTTTACTTCATACCTTCGTGGTCTTCTATCAGCTAAAGCAATTTTCACTATGCCTCTTTGGTAGAACGATTTGCAAACTTAAGGCGTAATGCCTTTGAATGAGATTTGAATGTAGTGAATCTTACATTACTTTTGAATATTTTTCGCATGATTCCGTGAGTTCTAGTAGCAAAATTTATATGGAAGATTAGACGGGGAGCCCAATAAAATTCTTATTGTAAAATCGATTCACCTCACTAAAAGTACACTTGGCGAATTAGTGTGTAGCGGATTGCTACTTTATTAAAGCCTAACCGACTCAGAAATCTCTATGGCAGATTCTCCTACATCTAGCTAGACCGACTCAGAAATCTCCATGGCAGATTCTCAAACATCTAGCTACCGGCTCAGAAATTTCTATGGCAGATTCTCCAACATCTAGCTAGGAATCAGAAATCTCTATGGCAGATTCTCCAACCTCTAGCTAGAGAACAGCTAAGCTATAGCTCAGCTATAAAGAAAACAGACGTGTAGCACGGAGCGCGTTTATATCTATGGCAGATTCTCCTACATCTAGCTAGACCCCCAGAACAGCTAAGCTATAACCCAGCCATAAAAAGAAACAGACGTGTAGCACGGAGCACGTTTATTCATTATGAATATTGCGGACAACGTGTATACGCAGGGAGCTTAATCATGATCAAAATGGCGGATTAGGTTAGACAAACAGAGGTTAATGATTAGTCACTGTTTGTACGGTCACACCTCACAATTCTGGTGTGCAGGCATGGGATGACGTGTAAACGATGACGTGTCCCACAAGAGAAATTAATTCAGATTTTCGTGAACCAAATTTCATCATCCATTCTACTAATGGTCTTCTTCATTATTGATATGCCTACTAATTGCATAATGGGAAAGGCAAGAAAAATTTCCCCATGTTTTCGTTGTAGGTTATTGATACACGCTACTAAGCCATGGCCTGTGCTCAGTAATCTCTATGGAAAGATCTCCTTGTTTGGAAGGGTTTCCATGACTGGCTAAGTTTCTGGAAAGCTACAGAGGAAGCATACTTATGACGTGGAATACTTACATTTTGGATGTGTGTTACAAAGAGGGAGGTTAGTCATTATAATACAATGGAGTG